AGGGCGGGAGGCGCCGCGCGGGCGGGGACGGCAAACTCCCGTGTCCTTGGCCGCGGCGGATCGCGCCCTGCCCCGCCCGGCCCACTGCGGCCGCCGAGTTCTTTACAACTCCGCAGTCCGCCGCCGCGGGCGCGACGCTCCGGCCAGCCCCGCGCGTTCCCAGGCCCCAGCGACCCGAGCGGGTGGTGGTTGGGGCGCGGGAGGGAAGCAGACCCGGGCCCGGGACCCCACACTTGGCCCCTGGCGGCGCGGGGCGGCGCCGGGTGCGTAGTCCGCCTGGGCGGGGGCGGGGCCGGGTCGGGAGCAGCGGGGTCTAGGGCTGTGGCGCCGGGGAGGTGGCGCGACCCCCGCCCACGCCCCTACCCGCGCCGCGTGCCTTTCTGGGGCAGAATCCTGAGGCGGGGCCGGCGGCCGGGCGGGTGGGTGGGTGGGGAGGACATGGGGTCAGGGGTCGGGCTAGGGCTCCGCGGCGCGGCCGCGCCACCGCGGGGAAGGATCGATGGAGTGCCGCGTCCCCGGGGTCCCGACCCGGACCGGGGGCTTTGATCAGCGCTAGCCCCCCAAGGCCGGGGTCCGCGCGGCTGCGGTGAGTGGCGGTAGCCGGGATGGCCGGGCCGGGAGAAGCGAGGCTGCGCGAGCCCACGACCCGCAGATACCCTTGGTTTCTCCACCGGGCTCAAGGCGAGCCCCTGGCCGCAGGCTGCCGGCAGATGGGAGGCGGAGGCGCACGCGAGGTGCCCGCAACGGAGGTTGCGGGGAGTCCAGTCGGGAAAGCCCTGGGCGCAGGACCCGGCTCCCCGCAGACTCTTGCCGCTTCCCCAAGCCTGGTACCCAGCTCTCGGGGCCCCAAATCCCCGTACAGGGTCCGGGGTGTGACCGGGAACTTTGCAGAGCCCTCGGCGGGCGGGTGGTAAGGACTTGCCGAGTGAGGCTGAGTCATCCTCACCCGCGAAGCGCAACTCCCGCTACCCGGGCAGCCACCGCGCGCTCCTGACGTCGCCAAGTCTCCGAGCGCGCCCGCCCGCCGCCTGGGTTCTATTGCTTTCTGCAGTGGGGACTTGGCGCGTCCCGCTCTCCACCCCCCCCCCAATCTACCCCCGTCGCCTGCCTCCAGCCTCTGCACCCTCAGGTTCTTAGGTTGCAGGAATACGGGTGGGGGTGGGCTCCAGCTTCCACTGCACGAGGTCGGGCTAGGACCCAGGCCACCCCTCTTGCCCTGTAGTCCTGCAAAGTTACCTAGCAGGGGTGGGACTAATTGCAGAATTTGCTGGCAGGAAGAAGGACCCCGAGGGTCCATTGGTGCTTTCTCCTGGGGCAGAAGACCCCGGACTCCCGCGAGTCTGGACAAGTCTTGCCCCCAGCGAGGGGAGCCACGCAGGGAACCGGTCCCACGGGAAAGCGCCAGGTGCACCCCACCCATGGGCACTAGTGTCTACGATCTCTACGGATGACTACCCGGTTATAATGAATTCTCTGCTTCTGTGCACACCGCCCAAACCGAGCTAAGCACAGCCTGACCCCGGGGCAAATGGTCCGGATGGCTTTGATGCTCAAATTGGGAACTGGGAGAAAATTAATTTTTTCTGTCAGAACACAAGAGCCGGGGCTTTGTCCATTCTTTGTGTTTTGGCTGTATGGTCACAGACCTCTGCGTGAATGTGAAGCCTTTGCTCCTACATCTGGCCAGTCACGGTCAAACATCTCCTACATGCTAGGCACCGTGGACCACGCTGGAAAGCCAGAGGTGAACAAATCAGGCAACACGCTCTCTTTTGTACACTAGGAGGGAGACAGCCTCCACTCCAAAGCCAAAGGAAGAATGCATAATTATGTGTGCTAATGAGTATTGGCAATAATCATATGGAGAAAAGTACCTGTGACACCTTCACTACTATTATATGTATTAACTGTTGGGAAACATGCAAAACAATACAGCTTAGTCAATGCATTTATTTATTTATTTATTTATTATTTATTTTTATTTTTTATTTTTTTTGTGGTACCAGGGATTGAACTCAGGATCTTGTGCTTGCCAGGCAAGCCCTTATTCCACTGAGCTATATCCCCAGCCCAACTTAGTCAATTTAAACAATCACCTGGCTGCTGGATAATGGGGTACAGTGAGGGCTACCCAGTGCCAAGATCATGGTGACATTTAATAGTTGTAGTGGTTATGCTCCACCAGCCTGACTCAGGTAAACTGCACAGTGGTTTCAGGGCAGCTAAGGAGTTGGGAGAGAGGGGCCTAGACGCCAGGGTCCCAGCTCCAGGGGAATAGCATTTGGAACATTTATAATGCAAGCATGTTACAGAACATTATGCACATTGCACTGACGTAGGTCCCACTAAATGTTTTTTTGCTACTATCTCCAAACTAAAAATGTTTAAACTATCTTACTAAATTTGGAACTCAAAGAGTTGCAGAGATTTGGTGTCCTACCACTTACATACTCTATCATTCTTTCCAGAGTCACAAAAAGTTAGTGCAGAAAGGGATCTCTGAACTATGAAGCCCCATCCTCTTATTTAACAAAATCTGACACTGAGGCCCAGGAAGATTTAGGCACCTACCGAAAGGCACACATCCGCTAATGTTGACTGCAGCTAGGAGCACTTTCTAGTATGCCAAACACATCACCAGGGTACTGGATCTTGCTTGCCATGTTTACTGGGAGGCACACATTTCAATACCCAGCTCTCAGCTGGAATGCTGAATGCAGCCCAAAGATACCCATGGAGCTAAGATTGTTGTTAGTTACTCTGCAAAAGCCAGATGTTGGTGGGGTTGGAAGGGAAGTAAAAGATCGTGAAGCACACATGAAGGCTCTCAGACGTTCACCTGGTCTCAGTGGGCTCCCCGGGGGGGACCTGGAGCTGCAGTGCTCCGGGAAGAGGGGCATAGTCCCAGGGGCATGGGAAGCAGTCGGAGCTTTCTGCATGGTAGGAACTTGGGGCAGTGCTGGCATTTAGTGGGCAGCTGCAGAGCAGTCCACACAGGGAAGAATTCCTGTGAGCCATGGGACTTTCCAACACCCTTCTGGACATTTCAGTCTGGGGGAAACACTCTTAGGAGCATCTGAATCCAGAATTTAAAAATACATGTATAATCTATATATGTGAGTCTTTGCATGATTTTAATAAACACTGAATTGCCCAGGAATGTAACTACTAAGTAAATAATGGGAAGATTGTTTTCCTTTTTTTTTTTTTCGATCCTTGCCAAGAGGTTTTGGGTTTTTGTTTCTATAATGTGTAGGTGAAGTTTTTTGTTGTTATTGTGGGTTTTTTTTTTTTGTTTGTTTGTTTGTTTTTGTGGTACCTGGGATTGAACTCAGGACCTTATGCTTGCCAGGCAAGCACTTATGTGCTTATTCTACTGAGCTATCTCTCTGGCCCAAGTTTTTGGTTTTGTTCTGCACATTTTAGAAAATTACTTCCCAAAGGCAACCAGGCTTATCAGTCCTGAGCCATCAACACGACCTATCTGTTGGATTTGCATTCAGGAGCTGCCACTTGCAGTGTACCCACAGGTACAAATATCAAATGACTTTACCACATCTTGCAGTGAATCTTGCATATGCATTTCACATAATGAAATGCCTTTTATCAATTAACTTTTACTTCTCTTTGCTACTGTCAGATAGGCAGAATACTGAGGGAGGCCGGAGACTGATCTTTTAAGAAGTTCTGACTTAGAATAGGTAATATTGTGAATTTCATATCAGAAGAAAGAGACTGCAGAGACTCAACGGTAAACATTCTGGTCTGGATCAGAAAGGATCGCAGTTAAGAAGCTGGGATGATTACTGGAGATACAAACTGTTTCACCCTGAAGTACCAAACCAGGAAATGCTTTAATTTGAGGTCTAGCAATTCCTCTTCTGGGAATTTACCTTAGTTATTAAATGATGGACAGTGGTACCTCAGTTCATGAATTCTTTTGTTTTTGAACAATTTGGTTCCCCGAGACATTTGGCAAAATTGTGCTTGCGTTGATGATCTCTGCACTAGATGACAAACATGACTGCAGCCTGCTTTCCCACACAAATGGGAACATGGCCATCTCTTCCAGAATAGTGCAACAAATGAAGTTGGTGAACCAAGGTACCACTGTACATATATACACTTATTTTTTGCCATATCATCACCAAAAGCACAAGACTGGAAGCACCCGAAAACTGGCCATCAGTACATGACTGGTTAAAGAAACAACAGCGACAGCATCCTTAGTCAGCCCTGTGTGCATATGTGTTTGTGACCTTCTGTTTAGGAGCTGCCCTGACTCTGAGAAGGCTGTCCTGGGCAGGAGCACAGGCCCACCCCTAAGGAAGGATCTGGAAGGACCAGCCCAATGGAAGGAAGGATTCTGGCCACAGGGCGTAGAACAATCTGGTCTGCCCTTCTGATTCAGGGTGGGACTCCCAGGGCTCTGTGCTGCTCCAACCCACCATGCCCCTCTCACCCCATACCTCAACCCTGGAACGGGCATATGCTGATACTCTGACCTTGACGTGAATAAAGTTTTGTGTGCGTGTGCGTGTGCGTGCGAAAACATCTCAAGTTTTTGTCCACAAAAGACAATTTGTTCTGGGGTAGAAGAGCCCTAGCATTCAACTGAGAGGACCCCATGCATCCAACTCCTACTTGTCACCTGAGTGGAGCAGCAGCCATACCTCACGTAGCCACACATACCCACACAGTGAAGCAG